GCCGTCACCCTCCGTCCTCATCCTGCCTCTGCCTCTTTTGTTGTCGTCCTCTTCCTCCTCCCAGCGTATCACTGGTGCTGTCGCGTTAACTGTTCGGCCTGTCTTCTGTCCTCGACCCACCCCGCATGCCCACCTCCATGTCCCCGTCGCGCCTGAGGCCTCGGTCCTTGTCCTGCTGCCGTTGCCTCGTGAGTCGCGCAGCGCGCGCGCAACCAATACAGCTTGCGCCACCACTGACAGATCATGTGTTGTCATCAACCATTATCTTCTGGACCACCTCATCTTGCCACTTCGTGCAGAAGGGTTGGGTACGTCGCAGGGTGAATAAGAACTGCCAGGCCCTTCTGAACGCTACATGAGAACAGACTCACGCGCGCGCCGTGTGGGCGGAAGCGCCGTTTTTGAACACAAACCAGCGGCAAATCCTTGAAGCGGTGGCAAGATGTTGAGACGAATGCGCTCGATGCGAGGGCGCGAGCCCGAGAAGGAGCCGGCCTCCATCCGTGGAGCGATCGCACACGTTGCAACGAGGACGTCCGGCGCCACGGCGAACACACACACAATGTGGAAGGAGCCCTTTCGCCCTTCTTCCCTGAGGCTGTTTTGCAGGCGTGTGGGACAAATCCGTGCGGCGCTGTGGTCTCCTCCTCCTCCTCCTCCTCCTCCTCCTCCTCCTCCTCCTCCTCCTCCAAGTTACCCCACCGTGCATCCCTGAAGCTCCTGCAGGCTTGTAAGACAAAGGCGCGCGTGACGGTGGCGCGAGGGCCGCATTTCTTACCAGCCTCGAACTTCTCCCCATCCCTGAGATTGACACGCCAGAAGGCGATGACAATCATAAGGGATGCCCCCTCAAAAAATAAGGGGGTCCCTAGGATTGGCATCGTGATGGGGCGATGCCCAGCATAGGGATAGGGATATGTTCCAGGCTGGTAAGTTTCAAAAACGACCCCGTTCATTCTTCGACGACGGTCCGTCCCAGAGGATGTCATACGCGTTGAAGACGAGTGCGCGCGGCGTCCAGGCGAGAGCCACAGCCATGAACACTACGTATGCCCCAGCCACATCGGCGAAACAGCTTCGAACTTGTACGATGAGTGTGCGTGGCGCTGAAGCGGGGACTGCATTTTGAGAACGACCCACATCACCACCTCCACCCCTGAAGTTGTTGCAAATGTGTAAGACGAGTGTGCGCGGCGCTATGGCGGGTTCTACGGCTCAGGATCCCAAACGGCGATGGGATCTCAGGCGGAACGCCCAACCCGCCCTACTGACACGTCTGAGAGTGCGACAGGCAAGCTGTGAACGTATGCGGGAGAGGGGTTGAGGAGCAGGGGGAGGAGCAGGGTGGATTGGGAGGAGGGGGACTGAAGGGGGCGGACGAGGAAAATGTAGTTCAGAGAGAAGCAGGGGTGGGAAGAGGAGGATCAGGAGGGGAAGGGATGTGACAACATGGACCATGGGGGTGATGACGACGTTCTTCGGTGCCACTTTTGCCGCCGAGGTGCTGGAGGTTTTGAAGCGCCTCACGGAACGCCTCGGGCGCATGTCCCTCATCGGAGAGGCTTGCAGTGTCCTCTCTCTTTCTCTCTTTATCTATCTCTCTCTCTGTCTCTCTCTCTCTCTCTGTCTCTCTCTCTCTCTCTCTCTCTCTGTCCCTTGATCTACGTGTCCTTCTTCCTGTGTCGAAGGCCGCCCCCTCCCCCCCAAAAAAAACCCTTTGTCGCCACGGATCAATCACCCTGGCAGGTTGTTTGGCATTTCTCGGCCTCCAGTGGTTTTCTGCCGGGCCCCAGGGCCGTCAAGGGACGACCCAGGGGAGAGCAAAACATGGATTCAGGTTCGCCGATGATCTATGTCTTCGAAAAGGCTCCCGGGCGAATACGTGTAATGCCCGCCTCTGGGCTACTATTCGCCTCTATCGTCGCCGCCGAGATGCACAACCTGCCCTGGAGAAGTGGTCTAGAACTCTGGGGTCCACGTGATGAGATGTTGGGGCGCCCTGGCTTTCTGGGCAGCAGGTCCTGAGACCTCCTGGTGCTTTAGGCTCTCGCGAGAGGCCTGGAGACCCTTTGGAGACTTTCTGGCTGCTGCGCTGGCTCGGCCTTGCTACCCCGTCCGTGTTTGTCTTGCCCTGTCCTTCCTCCCCCCCCTCCCTCCCCAGCTCCCCTCTCGTGCCCCTTGTCGCTCTCCTCTGTTCCTCTTCGCCACCCCCCTTTCCCATCCACCCCCCGCACAAACTATGTGTTGTTGACCTTTCTGTCTCTCTGCCTCTCTATCTCTCTGTCTATCTCGCCCTCCCCTTTTATCGCCTTTCTCTTCTTCTTCTTCACATTAATATTGTTATTACTATTCGTTTCCTGAGTCTGCTTATTATTATTATTATTATCACTATTATTATTATTATTGTTGTTTCTCTCTCTCTCTCTCGTTTCTCTTTTTGGTTATCTCTCTCTATCTCTCTTTCCCCTCTCTCTCTCTCTCGCTCTCTCTCTCTCTCTCTCTCTCTCTTCTTCTGTCTCACGTTCTGTGTCTTTTTACCGGAAAAGGGCGTGGGCCCAGGGTTCTCGCTTAGTTTGTTTTGTTTCCCCCCGGTTTCGCCGGCGGAAGTATTTGCGATACATAGCAAGGTAAAGTCCCATTCGGCGCGGACAAATGTAGGATGTCCCGAGCGAAACGCGTGTTTGGTTTCTGCCAGCGGAATTCTTTGCGAGAAATAACAAGGTACAGTCCAATTTGGCGTGGAAAAGTTTGAGGATGTCACTGGCGAGACGCGTGTTTTCTACACATTTGTGGAGGATGTCTCAGGCGAAATGCTGGTTTAGCAGAGTTGGGGGATGTCTCGAGCGGGGGCTTCGTCGGGGGCCAGAATTCAGAGGATGTCCCGGGCGAAATGTTTGTTTTCACGTGCCCATGTCGCCCAGGGGGTATCGAACATGGCTGCCCCTAGCTGGCGCCCCAGACGACCGCATGTCAGATATCTCCCCTGGGTTGGCTGGAACCAGGTGTTTTCACTTGTCCAGGCCAACCAGGGGGGTATCTGCCATGATGGTCTCGAGCTGGAACCATGTGTTTCACGTGTCCAGGCCACCCCGGAGGTACCTAGCATGGTGGTCCCGAGCTGGAGCCACGCGTTTTTACGTGTCCACGCCACCCAGGGGGGTATTTAACATGGTTGCCCAGAGCTGGCACCCACGTTTTTACGTGTCCAGGCCACCCAGGGGTGTATATAACATGGTTGTCCCGAACAAGGGCCACGTGTTTTTACGTGTCCAGGCTACCCACGGGGGTATCTAGCATGGTTGTCCGGAGCTGGAACCACGTGCTTTTATCTGTCCAGGCCACCCAGTGGGGTATCTAACATGATTGTCCCGAGCTGGAACCACGTGGTTGTGCGTGTCCAGGCCGCCCAGGAGTGTATTTATCATGGCGGAGCCAGGTGCTTTAACGTGTCCAGGCCACCTCGGGGGTATCTAGCATGAGGTGGCACGTCCATCGGCACGTTCCGTAACGCGTCCTTTTGGCACGTCCCGCGGTGCGTCCCCATGGCACGTCCCCTGTCACGTCGCCTGGCGCGTCCCTTGGGACGTTCCGCGGCGCGTCCTCCTGGCATGTCCCCGTGTCAATTAGTTCTGGGGCAGCTACTACGTGCTCAGGCAGCTCGAGCTTAAGAACCAGATCAGTTCGGTCAGGACTCGGATGCAAATGAGGACTCGATCCACAACGCTATAGAGCACAATCGCGGCATGGCACATCACAATTCAGCACGGCGCAGCACAGCACAGCTCCCGGCACGGTACATCAAGATCGATACATTCAGCATTGCAACTTGGCACGTTCCTTAGCAAGTTCCGTTGCGCGTCCCGTGGCGAGTCCCCGTGGCACGTCGCGCGGCGCGTCCCTTGACACGTCCCGTGGCACGTCCATCGGCACGTTCCGTAGCGCGTCCTTTTGGCACGTCCCGCGGTGCGTCCCCATGGCACGTCCCTTGGCACGTCACTTGGTGCTTTCCTTGGGATGTTCCGCGGCGCGTCCTCCTGGCATGTCCCCTTGTCAAGTAGCTCTGGGGCAGCTACGACGTGCTCAGGCAGCTCGAGCTTAAGATCCAGATCAGTTCGGTCAGGACTCGGATGCAAATGAGGACTCGATCCACAACGCTATAGAGCACAATCGCGAAATGGCACACCGCAATTCAGCACGGCGCAGCACAGCACAGCCCTCGGCACGGTACATCAAGATCGATACACTCAGCATTGCATTGCAACCTGGCACGTTCCCTGGCGCGTCCCTTGGATCGTCCCGTGGCACGTCCATCGGCACTTTCCGTAGCGCGTCCCTTTGGCACGTCTCGCGGTGCGTCCCCATGGCACGTCCTGTCACGTCGCCTGGCGCGTCCCTTGGAACGTTCCACAGCGCGTCCTCCTGGCATGTCCCCGTGTCAATTAGTTCTGGGGCAGCTACTACGTGCTCAGGCAGCTCGAGCTTAAGAACCAGATCAGTTCGGTCAGGACTCGGATGCAAATGAGGACTCGATCCACAACGCTATAGAGCACAATCGCGGCATGCCACATCGCAATTCAGCACGGCGCAGCACAGCACAGCTCCCGGCACGGTACATCAAGATCGATACATTCCGCATTGGATGTGCCAGTCGCCCAATCAGGTGTCTTTGAAACGCTGCCACGACGTGCATGTCTATATTCCTTTCCCGGTTCGTAGGTCGATCATGTTTATTTGTTTCTCTCTCTCTCTGTATACATATACGTAGGCATATACTTCCATGTGCACAGATTACCCACCTATCTTTGTGTTCGTCTCCCCCTCCTCCTCCTCCTCCTCCTCCTCCTCCTCCTCCTCCTCCTCCTCCTCCCCCTCCTCCTCCTCCTCCTCCGCCGCCTTCTGGCTCCCCGAGCTGTTAGCCTGGGCCCACCGCCGCCGCGCGCCAGCCGCCCGGCCCCCCCGGCTGCCGCGCGGAGCACGCCGGAGCGGCCCCCGCGCCGCGGATGGCGCCCGGGCGCTTCCCGCGCCCCGCGGGCCGCGCGGCGCACCGCCCGCCCCGCGGCGCGAGGCCCGCGCTCGCAGGGCCCGAAGGCGGACACCAGCACCAAAGCTCGGCGATCCCGAGGGAAGGAAGATCCCGATCTCGGCGATGGCGGTACACCTTAGGCGATGCTTAAGAAAACTTAAAATTTCGGCCAGAGTCTCGATTATTCTTAATGTTTCAATGTAACTCCTAAGATTTTAATTGAAATTTTGGGTTTTTATTCAAGTTCTGAGACTATGATTTTCTTAACCCATGATTTCTTAAGCATTTCGCAGGGTGTAGGATTCTGGCTTTCCAGGGTGGCCGACATGCTCCCAGGCAGGATCGCGCCGTAGAAAAGTCAGGGCGGGAGGTTTTTGTGCTATTTTCGGCACCGGGGGGCCCTCGCCGGCCCTCGGGACCGTCAAAAAACGACTCGGGATGAAGAACCGGTCCTGGGGAAAGGGTCGGGACTTCCAGGGACGCCGTCCTGAAAAAATCAGGACGTCGCATGTCTGGGTTGCCACCGATACCGGAATCTGGGATCGTCTTCCCCATGTGGAGGCAGCCCCCTGTGTTGGTGCTGGTGCCCGTTTCTAGGCCTCCAACATGCACGTCGTCGTCGTCGTCGTCACCGTCGCCGTCGCCGTCGCCGCCGTCGCCGTCGCCGTCGCCGTCGTCGTCGTCGTCGTCGTCGTCGTCGTCGTCGTCGTCGTCGTCGTCGTCGTCGTCGTCGTCGTCGTCGTCGTCGTCGTCCGCGCAGAGCGTTGGGCCCCAGTCGCCCGGCGGCCCCGCGCGGGGGCGGCGCCCTCCCCCCCGCGTGCCCCGCCTGCCCGCGGCAAAGAATCGTGCCGACGGCGCGCTTCAGCCAGGTGTTGCCACTGGCGTCCCTGGCCAGGGGTGCCCCCCCCCGCCTTTCGCTCCATGTTGAGCCCCGAGGGGCCCGCCTGGGCTTCGGCAGAGGTGGCCTGGAGGCCGCAGGGGCCCCCTGGAGATCCGGGGGGCACCTTGGCCCAAGCGATCGGTTCCTTATCCACTGTTTTGCTGATCGGCGCGGGCCCTCGCATCGCCCCCCCCCCATCAAGCAGTGGCGAAGCGTCCTGGCTCGCCTATAGCCCTACCAAACAATGTTCTAAGCACCTTTTGTGGATTCCACGAAATGTTCTTAGAACATTTCTGGCCGGGACTGTCTTGTTTTAACACACCGGTCGTATGTTCTAAGAATTTTGTTTTTGTTCTTAGAACATTTTGGGGTTCTAAGAACATTTCGTGGTATGACTATAGGAATGCCGGGACGGTCGGTCCCTGCTCAACCCCAGGGAGTAGATCTTAGCCGTTTTGGGCGCCTGTTTCAAGCAGGTGGAGTCTCCCCCACGGGACGCACTACTGCAAACCGTCGCTTTTTAAGCAGAGGTCCGGAGCCAGACCCCGCCCCCCCAATGTCGAAACGACCAGTGTTGGTACATTGGGATTCCTGGAAGCACCTTGGCCCAAGGATGCTTCTCACCGGCCAAGACAAATCATTGGAATGGATGAATACGCATTATACCAGCTCTGTTCAGAAGAAGCAGCGACTTATTCGAACGAGAAACGGATTCATGAAACCGTACCACCTGATGGAAACAAGACAGAACAGCACTTAGCAAACGCTAAAGCCGCGTGACTGAACTCAAGAACGAATTTTCTAAATGTGGGGCCTTTGCCTACATTCACAATCCCATCATTACCATGAGTAAGGTTGGTCGATCAACTTCTAGCAGCACCCGAACTCATATTTCCAGGAACACCCTGATGTTCCATTTCCCCGCACGGGCTGAGCAAACGAGGGCCGCTGTCCTCAGGGCTCCCGGGACGCATCCTGAGCCGATGCCGCTCGGGGCTCAAGAAACTTGGATCAATGCAAATCGGGGTCAGTCAATCCGCCAGATCTTGCAAGATCCTGCGGAGCCAGGGCTGCATTGACCTGGGCTTCAGCGCAGGATCCTGGATCCAGCAGGACCTTGCAGGATCCTACAAAGCCTGACTGACCGGGCAAGTGGATCCCCGACACCGCACCAGGCCTCCCCCTCCTCCTCCTACTCCCCCTCCTCCTCCCTCCTCCTCCTCCTCCTCCTCCTCCTCCTCCTCTCCTCCTCCTCCTCCTCCTCCTCCTCCTCCTCCTCCTCCTCCTCCCCCTCCTCCTGCTCCTCCTCTTCCTCCTCCTCCTCCTCCTCCTCCTCCTCCTCCTTCTCCTCCTCCTCCTCCTCCTCCTCCTCCTCCTCCTTGCTCCTCCTCCTCCTCCTCCTCCCCCTCTTCTTCCTCCTCCTCCTCCTCCTCCTCCTCCTCCTCCTCCTCCTCCTCCTCCCTCCTCCTCCTCCTCCTCCTCCTCCTCCTCCTCCTCCTCCTCCTCCTCCTCCTCCTCCTCCTCCCCCTCCCCGTGTTCGTCCCCCACGAGGGGCGGCCTACCCGCCAAAGTGGCGCCGCAGGAGCCGCTCGCCACCGCGGCCGCGCCGCCGCGGGCGCCGCGCCTGCGGCCGGCCTGCCCGGCGGGGGAGCCGCCGCCCCTGGAGCTGCCCGAGGCTGCGCTGTCGGAGGACGGGGGGCTGATGTCATAAGTTGGAGGGGGAGATGGTCCTCCTCCTCCTCCTCCTCCTCCCCCTCCTCCTCCTCCTCCCCCTCCTCCTCGTCCTCCTCCTCCTCCTCCTCCTCGTTCCCCTCCTCCCCCTCCTCCTCCTCCTCCTCCTCCTCTCCTCCTCCTCCTCCTCCTCCTCCTCCTCCTCTTCCACCTCATCCTCCTCCTCCTCCTCCTCCTCCTCCTCCTCCTCCTCCTCCTCCTCCTCCTCCTCCATCTCCTCCTCCACCTCCTCCTCCTCCTCCTCCTCCACCTCCTCCTCCTCCTCCTCCTGCTCCTCCTCGTCCTTTTCCGCCTGCGCCCCTCCAACTTATGGTGGTGGTGGTGGAAACCAGGCCCATCAGGGGCGGCCGCCAGGCGTGAGCCGCCCACGACCGGGTCGGTGCGATTTGCGGGCTGGGCTCAAGTCGGGCTTGTCCCTCTACAGGAGGAGCATTCAAAAATAATCAAGAAATAGTCTGGGGACGTTTATATTGCATATGTTTTGGCCATTTCGGCGTTTCTTTTGACTATTTGTTATTTTTCGTCCCAAATCCCTCTGTAGGAGGACAGGCCCGACTTAAGACCAGGGGCGGCTGCCAGGCGTGGGCCGCCCAAGACAGGGGTCGGTGCGATTCGCGGGCTGGGCCTGCGATGCCCAGGGCCAGCCAGACCCAGACCCCCTCGGGCATTGAAAGAATCATGACGGGAGGTTTTTTATACTATTTTCGGCCTCCGGGGGCCCTTGCCGGCCCTCGGGGCCGTCAAAAAACGAGTCAGCATGGGCAATGAAAACATCATGACGGGAGGTCTTTTGCCACCTTCGGCTTCTGGGGGGCCCTTGCCGGCCCTCGGGGCCGTCAACAAACGATTCAGGATGAAAAACCGGTCCAGGGGAATGGGTCGAGACCTCCAGGGGTCGACGTAATGAACAATTCATGACGTCGGGGGTCACCCCAACATGTTTCTACTATATGTGCGTCGCCCCCGCAGGGGCGACGCGCGCACCGAGAAATTGTATAGTATGTGCGTCGTGGCGGGCGCTGTCTGGCCTCACCGCTCGGGAAACGATAGATATGCTACAAGATGGGTATACTATATGTTCGGGTCGGACGCGCGCCTCCAAGGAGGACACATAGCACGAGCCAAACATGCGACGTCCTGATCTGTTCAGGACGGCGTCCGTGGAAGACCCGACCCTTGCCCCTGGACCAGCTTTTCGTCCTGGGTCGCTCTTTCACGGTCCCGAGGCCCGGCGAGGCTCCCCCAGGGCCAAGAATGGCCAAAAATTTCTTGCCCTTACGGCGTCTTCAGGAAATTAACCCTAAAATGGCTATGGAATGTTAAAGCTAATGCTAATGCTAAAGCTAATGCTAATGCTAATGCTAATGCGGATGCTAATGCCAAAAATGGCCAAAAACTTCCCGGCCTGATTTTTTCTACGGCCAGGGCCGGGCGCGGCGGTCCGACCCGGTGTCGAGCGCACGTGAGAGTGACCTTTCGCCGGAGTGGCCTCCGGCGCGGGCTCATTGGGCCCCCCGTCGGGCGGTGGCGAGGCGTCCCAGCTTGCCTATGGCCCTGCCGAACAATGTTCTAAGAGCCTTTTGTGGTTCCCACGAGATGTTCTTATAGAACATTTCTGGCTGGGACTGTCTTACTTTAACACATCAGGTTAATGTTCTGAGAACATGGTTTTTGTTCTTAGAACATTCTTGGGTTCTAAGAACATGTCGTGGTAGGCCTATAGGAATGCCGGGACTGTCTGTGTCTGCTCAACCCCCGATCGCCGAATGCGATGCGATATCAGCGGCCTGCGCGCTTGTGTTCGTCCCCCCGCGGCCCCCAGAAGGCCGCGCACCAAAGGCCCCTCTTACCCAGGGTCACTCTTGCGCGTAGTCGACGGTGCGATGCAGGAGAAGTCGGTGGCCGTCCGGTGCGTTGCCGATGCGAGCCGATGTCGCGCAGGATGTGCCAACTGGCGGGTGCTCCTCCCCAGGCATGATCGCGTCTTAGAAACAAATCAGGACAATGAGGTTCTTGGCTCTTTTCGGCCCTGGGGGGCCCTCGCCGGGCCTCGGGGCCGTCAAAAAACGACTCGGGGCGAAAAGCCGGTCCTGGGGAAGGGGTCGGGACTCCCAGGGACGCCGTCCTGAAAAAATCTGGACGTTGCATGTCTGGGTCCACTTCGGCGCGCTCGGGGGTGGCTTCCGGACCCTGGGGCCATCAAACACGGCTCCTGCTCGAAGAGCTGCCCCCCAGGGAATCAAGCAGTGGCGAAGCGTCCTGGCTCGCCGATAGGCCCACCAGGGAAGAAGGTTCTGGAGAGCCTTTTTTGTGGTCTGCACGAGATGCTCTCAGAACATCTCTGGCTGGGACCGTCTTGTCTTAGCGCATCGGGTTTCCGTTATGAGAACATGGAGCATGTTTCCGTTCTGAGAAAGTGTCGTGGTAGGCCTACACTGGGGGCGCTGAAGAAGGAACCCTTTTCGTTGGGGAGGGGCTCCGTGTTCCTTAAGTGTTGCACAGCTTGCCTCGGGTTTTCCTTATGTTTTCGATGGGGAATCGAAGTTTAACTTATGGGAAAGGAGGGGCCTCGTTCCTTATTTAGGGTTCCTTAGGTCAACGCCCCGACTGCTCGAGGGACGTGATCGGGATTCCTGGGGCAGCGAGCGGCCGGGGCACGGCAGCGGGCGGAGTCGGGCGCACGGGGCAGCGCCCTGCGGGCCGGGCGGGCGGGCAGGGCTCGGCCCAAGAGGTGGCCCCCGCCTCTCGGGGGGGGAGCTCCGAACCCAGACCCCCTCGGGTAATGAAAAAATCATGACGGAAGTTTTTTGCTATTTTCGGCCTCTAGGGACCCTGACCGGCCCTCGGGACCGTCAAAAAACGACTCAGGATAAAGAACTGGTCCAGGGAAATGGGTCGAGACCTCCAGGGGTCGACGTAATGAAAAAATCATGACGTGGGGGTCTGGGAAGCAGCCAGAAGAAACGCCAGGGGCGCCCTTGGGCCCAAGAGTTCTGCCAGGCGATCGCAGGCATGGAGCAAGAGGGCGTGGATTATAGCGACGGGCCCCGGTTTCCACAGGAAGTCGCGGCCTTCCGCCGCCGAGGCGGCGCCGGCCGCATTCTGGGGAGCCATGGATTTGGCGACCGCGCGCCAGATCCGTGGATCGCGAATCCATGCTTGCGCGCCCCCGGTTCTGGCAACCGAGAGGAGCCCACCCACGCGCGCCTCCAGGGGGCGACGGCGCAGGAGATGGCCGGCTCTCACCGTGGGACCAAAAAGGGGTCCTGAGGGAAAGGGGCCCCGCGGCTTCCAGCCGTCGGCCCCTCTCCTCCTCCTCCCTCCTCCCTCCTCCTCCTCCTCCTCCTCCTCCTCCTCCTCCTCCTCCTCCTCCTCCTCGTCCTCCTCCTAGACAGCCCAGAAGACGACCCATGGGCCATAGGATGAACAGCCGATTCTTCAAGGGGGGCCGGGGGGGGACACCAGGGCCCGTTTTCCTCAGGACCCCCCCAGGCCTCCGAACAGTTGAGGTCCCCAGACACGATCGCGTCGTGGAAAAATCAGGACGGGAAGTTTTTGGCTATTTGGGGCCCCCGGGGGCCCTCGCCAGGCCTCGGGACCGTCGAGACCTCCAGGGGATGTAATGAAAAAATGATGACGTCGGGGGTCTGGGTTCCCAGACATGATCGCGTCTTTTAGAAGAAAATCAGGACCGGAGGTTCTTGCCCCGTTCTGGCCCCGGGGGGCCCTCGCCGGGCCTCGCTGTCAAAAAACGACTCAGGACGCAAAACCGGTCCCGGGGAAAGGGTCGGGACTTCCAGGAACGCCGTCCTGAAAGAATCAGGACGTCGCATGTTTGGGTCCGAAAAGTTTAGGTCTGCAGAGGTTGCAACCCGCTCAAGGGGAATCGTCGCGCCCCCCAGATCGTGTCTGACGTCCCGGGAGCCCAGAGACCGCCGGCCGGGGGCCGAAGATGGCGACACAAGTGGTTTGTTCTTCTTCCAGTTTCGGCGGCGGCGCAAAGGGGGTGGCTGGGGAGGGGGCGGCCTTCTGAGAAGGCGGGGAGGCTTCTTGGAAGACAGGGGCGCACTCAGAAGGGCACGAAGAGTTCTCAGAAGCCTTCCTGGATGCCAGTATACGGCTTCTGAGCAGCCTCGTGCCGTCCATACAACCAGCTCCCCCGCCTTCTCAGAAGGCCGCCTCCCCTCTCGCCACCCCTCTGCCTTGGTATCGCTCGGACGTGTGCACTTTTTCTCGGCGGGGATTGTTAAGGAGCATCCTGGATCATCCTGCGAAAAAGCCACGCACGAAACCGAAAAAGGCACAGGGAATGGACGTCCGAGCGATGGCCAGCTGCACGCGTGCCGCCCCGACAATAGCGCCGGGGGCCTGGGCCTCTGGTCCGCGGACCAGGCTCGACGCTCCCCCCGTTGGACGCCTCTGGCGCGGAGCCGCCCGGGCCCGGGATCCTCCCCTGTGCCGCGGCGCTCCTCGGGCTGCTCGGCACGCCCGGCGCGGTGGCGTTCGCGGCGCGCGCGCACCCGGCGTGGCCCCACGGCGCCGACGAGGACCCGGCGGCCCGCAGACGGGCCAGAGGGTGCCAAACCCAGACACCCTCGGGCAATGACAAAATCATGACGGCCTCATGGGGGCCCTTGCCGGGCCTCGGGACCGTCAAGAAGCGACTCAGGATGACAAGCTGGTCCTGGGGAATGGGTCGAGAATGCTGGGGGTCGACGTAATGAAAAGATCATGACGTCGGGGAGAGCATGCTACGTATGGAATGAATTCAATGAAAATCCATTGCAGTGGATCCGTGAGTGGATCTATCTAGATTGATGAGGCTATGATGCGTCTTTTGATTCTGAGCCGGCTATGATGCCCGCTCGTGCCCACCCCGTCCCGTCTTCAGGGTCTTCGCATCCCCCTATGATGGTAGGATGGGAAGACGGGCCGCCGCCCCTGGCCCTGCACGTACGGTGCCAGGTTTGTGGGGATTTGGTTCGACCCCCGCAGTCCCAATGATGGAAACTGCGAGGGGTGTGAGGCCTCATGGTGGTCCTCACTGGTAAGGCCTATGATGGTCCTCACCGGGGGGGAGAGGGCAAGGGCGGACGTCCACCAACAACGTCCGTCGTGCTCATCCTCCGTGAGATGCACTGTGACCACACTCATGACCAAGAAGACCGTGACATTCACGAGCATGACCCGACCTATGATTGCGGACACCGTGAGACGCACCGTGACCACGCTCATGACCACGAAAGCGGTGAAATTCACGAGCACGACCCGACCCATGATTGCGGACTCCGTGAAATGCAATGAGATCACGCTCATGGCCACGAAGACCGTGAAACACACGAGCACGACCCGACCTATGATTGCGGACTCCGTGAAATGCCCTGTGACCACACACATGAGCAAGAACACCGTGACATTCACAAGCACGACCCTACCTATGACTGTGGACTCCCTGAAACGCACCGTGAACACACCCATGATCACGGAAACAGTGAAATTCACGAGTACGACCCGATCGAGGCCGAGGTGCTTCCCGCACTGCCTGTATCGCGGCTCCGATGGGATGTAGACCAGAAGGAGGAGGAGGAGGACGACGACGACGATGAGAAAGTTTACTTCAATGAACAAATTGAGCGCGAAGGCCTATGATGGTCCTTCTTCTCAAAAAGAGCCTTTCTGATGGCCCCGAAGTGGGTGCGAGGTGCCTCTGATGGCCCTTCTGGCTGCCTATGATGGCGGCGCGAGACGACCGGCAGGGGATTGGGTCCCGTTCACGGTCCATTAGGGGAGAGCATGCTACGCATGGAATGAATTCAATGAAAATCCATTGCAGTGGATCCGTGCGTGGATCAATCTAGATTGATGAGGCTATGATGCCTCTCTCGTGCCCACCCCGTCCCCTCTTCAGGGACTTCCCGAGGGGGGGGTGGGCCTCGGGAGACGCCCCATCCTGGACCGTGCCCGAGCATTTTCTCTGGGTGGAGGGCAGAGGGTGAAGTCTGAAGCGCCGTTTCGATGGGTGCATGCTCGAGGCTTGACTCTGCCAAGGGCGCATCACAAGAGGGATTGGTTTTCAAGGTGCAGAAGCCCATATGGATTTCGCCCTGCGCCCTCCAGCCTAAGAAAATGCTCAGAGTGCCGCCCTCTCAGAAGTGCCGCCCTCTCAGAACCCAGACATGCGACGTCCTGATTTTTCCGGGGCGGCGTCCCTGGAAGTGCCGACTCCTTCCCCGGGACCGGTTTTGCGTCCCGAGTCGTTTTGTCGACAGCCCCGAGGCCTGACGAGGGCCCCCCAGGGCCGAAACTAGACACGAACCTCGGGTCTTGTTTTTTTTCCCCACATCCTGAGTGGGGTTCTTGTTTTCCCAGAACACCCTCTCCTTCCCACCCACCTCCCGCTCCATCTTCCATACAGCACAATATTATTCCTACCACACACACCATACCATACCATAGTTCCTACCACACATACCATACCATACCATACCATACCGTACCATACCATACCTACGAGGAGGGTATCGGAAAACCATACTATTTACATGGTTTCGTGCCCCTCCCACCCTTCCAGGGAGGCCCCGCCTGAGCGAGGAGGGTATCGGAATACCATACTATTTACATGGTTTCGTGCCCCTCCCACACCCTCCAGGGAGGCCCCGCCTGAGCGAGGAGGGTATCCGAAAACCATACTATTTACATGGTTTCGTGCCCCTCCCACCCTCCAGGGAGGCCCCGCCTGAGCGAGGAGGGTATCGGAATACCATACTATTTACATGGTTTCGTGCCCCTCCCACCCCTCCAGGGAGGCCCCGCCTGAGCGAGGAGGGTATCCGAAAACCATACTATGATCGGTACTATTTACATGGTTTCGTGCCCCTCCCACCCCTCAGGGAGGCCCCGCCTGAGCGAGGAGGGTATCGGAATACCATACTATTTACATGGTTTCGTGCCCCTTATCCCATACTATTTGGTTTCGTGCCCCTCCCACCCCTCCAGGGAGGCCCCGCCTGAGCGAGGAGGGTATCGGAATACCATACTATTTACATGGTTTCGTGCCCCTCCCACCCCTCCAGGGAGGCCCCGCCTGAGCGAGGAGGGTATCGGAATACCATACTATTTACATGGTTTCGTGCCCCTCCCACCCCTCCAGGGAGGCCCCGCCTGAGCGAGGAGGGTATCGGAATACCATACTATTTACATGGTTTCGTGCCCCTCCCACCCCTCCAGGGAGGCCCCGCCTGAGCGAGGAGGGTATCGGAATACCATACTATTTACATGGTTTCGTGCCCCTCCCACCCCTCCAGGGAGGCCCCGCCTGAGCGAGGAGGGTATCCGAAAACCATACTATTTACATGGTTTCGTGCCCCTCCCACCCCTCCAGGGAGGCCCCGCCTGAGCGAGGAGGGTATCGGAAAACCATACTATTTACATGGTTTCGTGCCCCTCCCACCCCTCCAGAGAGGCCCCGCCTGAGCGAGGAGGGTATCGGAAAACCATACTCTTTACACGGTTTCGTGCCCCTCCTCCACTCCTCCAGAGAGGCCGCGCTTGAACGAGGAGGGTCGCGGAAAGCATTACTCTTCGCCAGGTTTCGTAGCCCTCCCCCCTTCCAGCGGGGCCCCGCCAAAGCGAGGAGGGCATCAAGAAAATGGGTCCCACGAAACCTTTAATCTCTTTATGTGGGGAACTCCGTTAGCATAATTTAATAAGACACGATCATGTCTGGGAACCCAGACCCCCGACGTCCTGATTCTTTCATTGCGTCGACCCCTGGAGGTCTCGACACACTCCCCTGGACCGGCTTTTCCTCTTGAGTCGTTTTTTGACGGCCCCGAGGGCCGGCAGAGGGCCCCCAGAGGCCGAAGATAGCAAAAAAATCCCGGCATGATTTGTTTCATGACAGTCAAGACGCTGAAATGAGGAACAGTTTGGATTCGGAAGGGGCTCGATGTTCCTTAGGTTCCTCCAGTGCTGTTCCTCTTGCCCTCCTGGGGCACGGAGGCGCTTACGTCGACTAGACGTAAGAATGACCTTTCGCCGGAGTGACCTTTGGTGCGGGCACAGATGGGCCCTCAGATGGCTGAAAACGGAGCAGCAGCAGCGGCTTGCGCGCCCAGGTTTGGTCTCCCCGCGGCCCCCCAAAAGCCGCGCACCAGAGGTCACTCTTACACAGGGTCACTCTCGCGTGCAGCCGATCGCAGGGCCACGAAGGGGCTTCGCTCCTTCTTTTGCGTTCCTGCTTTCAGCGGCCCGACTGTACCCGAGGGGGCCTGGGCAGGCCCCGAAGCCACAGAGCTCTCGGAGGGGGAAGGGGAGAGGAGGAGGAGGAGGAGGAGGAGGAGGAGGAGGAGGGGGCCTGGGCAGGCCTCCCCCTCTTCCCGCGCGCCGCTGCGAGGAGCAGACCCCGGAGCGCACGTAGCAACTGCTGCCGAGAGCGCTCCGCCGCGCTGCTCGGCCCGCGCTGGGCGCGGCCAGCGGCCGAAGCCCGCGACGTCCGACCTCGTCGCCCTCCGCCCTCCTCCTCCTCCTCCTCCTTCTCCTCCTCCTCCTCCTCCTCCTCCTCCTCCTTCTCCTCCCTCCTCCTCCCTCCTCCTCCCTCCCTCCTCCTCCCCTCCTCCTCCTCCTCCTCCTCCCTCCTCCTCCTCCTCCTCCCCCTCCTCCTCCCTCCTCCTCCTCCTCCTCCTCCCTCCTCCTCCTCCCTCCTCCCCTCTCCTCCTCCTCCTCCTCCTCCTCCTCCTCCCTCCTCCTCCCTCCTCCTCCTCCTCCCTCCTCCTCCCTCCTCCTCCTCCTCCTCCTCCCTCCTCCTCCTCCCTCCTCCCTCCTCCCTCCCCCCTCTCAAGCCAATTGGGCCCGAGCATTTTGCCAGAGCCCGATCCCTGTACCTCCTCGGGGTGCTTGAGGGATAGCTTGGCGAGTCTCGCCCACACTCGCCAGGCTAACGAAAGCAGGGATGACAGCAGATGTGGCGCGTCCAGCTCGTCCCGCCAGTCGGGGGAGGCCGTCTCGACCATGGAGTCGGTGCGCGCACTGCAAAACGTGTGAGTACAATGACAAGTTGGCCGCGTCTGGGGGTAAGTGCCCCGCATGCAGCAAGAAGATCCGCCTCTATGTGCCGAGGGCCCCCAGCGTCTCCTTCGACGAGCACGTGGAGCAGATCGAGCTGCAGGACGACGGCGGCACCGTCGCGGGTTCAGGCAAAGTTCACGCTGGCCGACATCGTCGCAGCCCCAGCCCCAGACGTGGAGGCAAGGGCGAGGCTGGTGCCAAGGCCAAGCAGTACGCGACGGTGCAGGCGCTCTTGAAGGAGGCGGCCGAAGCGTCCGACGACGTCATGCTGAAGTCGGCGCTGGCAGCCCAGCAGGAGCGGCTTCAGCAGAAGGTGCAGCAGGAGGAGCCCGTCTCGGAGGCAGAGGCCGCGCGCAAGGCCGATGGGGCCTGGCGCGCGGCATCTCACCGCCACGAGCAGACGGTGACGCAGGTCCTGCGCTTGAGGAAGCAGTTGCAGGTGGCGGAGAGCAAGGAACAGAAGGCAGCTGAGGATTTGGCGCTCGCCGAGATCCACAAGAAGCGAGCAGCCGAGGCCTTGGCGAAAGCCGAGGGAGTGCAGGCCACGCAGACCACGGCCGCCTCTGGTGATCAGGTGCCCGCGTTCGAGCTGCGCATCAACTCGGCAATTTCCGACCAGTTCGAGAGCTGGGATTGTGAGGAGAGCGACAAAGAGCAGCTGCGAGAGTTAAAACGTGAACTCGATCAGTATCGTACTGCCTTCGAGTCCAAGGATGTCCAGGTACGTGCCTTCCTCGAGAAGGTTGACAAGTTCGAGAAGGAGGTTGTAGATCGCATGAACAAGAAGAGGCGCACAGCGGGAAATGATGAAGGAGCTGCCGCGGGTGATGGAGGTGGTCAGGGCGTACCTCCTACTGCGGCTGCTGGAGGCGCCGAGGGAGCAGCTGCAGCGCCACCGCCTGGCGCAGCAGCGCCAGCTGCGGCTGCGAGTGCCTCGCGCGTGGCTGGTGCTCCCACGGGCGCCTCTGGCACGGCTTCGACGCCGACGGAGGCGCAGGTCAAGGAGGCCGCTGCCGCCATCTCCAAGGCCAGGTTCGACGCGGCGAAGGCCGTGGAGAAGGGCAAGGGCGGCGGCGGCGGCGGAAAGGGTGGCGACGTCAATGTCCCCGACGCTGACAACGAGGAGCTGTGACTAGGGGCTGCGACAGTTCCGCTGGGGGAGTCGTCCATGGAGTCGACCACTACGGGCAGCAGCAGTCCTACAGGCACTGGTGCTTCAACGTCGTCATCGGGGAGCTGCAGTACGACCAGTACTGGGACCAGCACTACTGCATCGACTTCGTCATCGGCGAAGTCCTCGACCAAACTTTTCTTCGGCAACACAACCTGCATGGGGGACAAAGCTTGGGGATATCTTTGTCAGACGTCTCGGACGCGCGACTATGTCACCGCGCGCGAGACACATGTGCATCAGCGAGACCCTGGCAAGTGGACATCCAAGGCGCGCGGTGCAGGTTTGAAGTTGCTGGCCAATGGCGCTAGAGCCAAGAGTAGATGGAAGCAGGTACACCCAGATCAGGAAGCTCGAGCGAATGAAGGAGGTGAGTGGATGTTGGTTCGTAACCATCGCCCTGCTCAGGTTCTTGACGCTGCTCGTAATTCCCCTGCCCTTCGTCATGATCGATGTGCAGCGTTTGATGGGTTTCTACCTGTATTATTGCATATGCGTGGTTTTTCGCTGGTGTTGTGCATCATATACGGATACACGGGGATCGGCTTCAGCGGCGACAACATCCTTCGAATGCGTCGCATCGGCAGTTTGCTTGCATCACTTCAGTTGCCATGGATTGCCATCGGTGACTGGAACATGTCGCCCGCGCAGCTGTGCGCCACAGGTTTCGTGGAAAAGGTTGCAGGCATCGTCGTCACGTCTGAGGCTGAGTTCACTTGCACACCAGGTGAAACTCGCCCCTCGCTTCTAGAGGTTGTTCTGTGTTCCGAGGCTGCTAGGCCTTATATCCTGGGGCTCAGGGCCGTCCTGGACGTTCCGTGGAAACCTCACATCGGCCTCAGTCTGGAATTAATCTCAGAGGGTAGCCAGCTGTATACTGGGTTTCTGGATCTTCCACCCCAGCTCCCATCGGTGCCTCGTCCAGCGAGGCAGCCTGTGGAAGGTTCGAAGTCGAGCCGAGCTAAGGTGGAGCGTAGGTTAGCACAGCAGCTGGCCAAGCAAAAGCGGCACGATAGAATTCGTGAATGGTTTCCTTTTGAGAGTGCCAGTGTGGAGGAGGAGGGGACGAGTGGTCCGCAGGTCCCCCTCAGCGAAGCCGAAACAGGTGTCGGCGAGCCGCTGGGAGGTGACGGGTACGATTCCAACGAGGAAGAGGACCCGTGGGCCTTCGGGCCCAGCTTCGGACCCGACCCCGCCCCACCCGCCGCCTCTCTGCCTCCCGCACAGTCAATGAGTAATTCAGCCCAGCGCGAGAACCCCCCAGATAGTAGCCCCGAGCAACAGTCTCACGATCAGGAGCCATCGCCCACAGGGTATGAGGGGAATTTAAAATCCAACGCTGAATTTAAGCTAGCAGAGGCCACCTGGAGTGCTGAAAGGAAAAACGTCGGTTTCATTTCGTCGGGTACTTACCCGCCTGCTGATGCTATCGTCCGTTCCGTTGCACACTCTCTTGGCTCATATCATTGTGGCAGTCTTAGCCGTCTTTTCGGTGCGTGGATTCGCACAGTGGAGGCCAGCTTCGCCTCGCATCATGGCCAGGCCGGCTTTGGGAGATCTCGCGCCGAGGGGCCCAAGTTCCGTACCGACACTGTCTTGGAAGCGACGCCGTCCAGGATTGCACCTATGAGGGATCGCATCAGTGGATGGTGGACCAGGGCCCATGTGGTGCTGGATACATATGCCAAGCATCTGGCTAGAAAGAATGGTGTCAAGCAGCAAGAGTTGTTAGTTTCAACGTGCAAGAGGTTAGCTTCGGAGGCCCCTGATAAGGGGCACCAGGTCATCAGACAGAATGACGGCATCTCGTGGGTTTCTTGGCTGCAGCTCATGTCTACGGTTGATACCTTATGTGCACAGGAGCTGGTTGAGGCAGTCAAGTTTAGTGAACGTATTTCGCAGAGAAGCCAGAGGAGGGCCATCAGTCAGTCTCTGGCCGAGTTTCGTGAATGGGCAGAGTCTCAGAGCGCAGTGTCCGCCCTCCACAGGGCCATTCGGGAGGTACCACAGGCACCTCATTCACTCGTGGACGGTGATAAGACCATCCAGCACCCGCGGGACATCATGGACAAGACGAGCCAGAGGTTCCAAGAGCTGTGGGCGCCTGAGGGGCAGCAGCTGGAGGGGCTTCATTCCTTGTTCGCCGACACCCGTGCACGCGTCGCTGAGGAGCCTCTTCCACCGTTGACAGGGGAGCAGCTGCGGGCAGCTGGCAGAGCCATGAAGCAGACGTCGGCCATGGGAGCCGATCGCCTCACGGCGCTCGACACCGATCGGCCCCCCGACATCGCGCTCGAGGAGCTCGCGGTGATCCTGGCTGCCTGCGAGGCCTGCCAGGCATGGCCGCATCAGCTGCTTCTGACGATCGGCACGCTGCTGCCGAGAAAGGTCACGGGCGACAGAGTCATAGGTTTGCTGCCGCACATCGCGCGCCTCTGGTCCCAGGCGCGCGGGCCGCGGGTGCGCTCGTGGACCGAGGAGTGCGAGGCGCCGTGGGATGCCGCGATCCGCGGCAACGCGGCGCTGCAGGAGGCGTTCGTCCGCGTGGTGGACGAGGAGCTGGCGGCCCGCCTGGGCGTGGCCCACGGCCACGGGCTGCTGGACATCGCCAGCTTTTACGACAGCATCGGGTGGCTGCGGCTGGGGCTGACGGCGCTAAGGTTGGACTTCCCAGCCGAGGTGCTGGGCCTGGAGCTGCTGCAATGCATGGCGGCGCGGTGCCTTCGTCAAGCGGGGGCATACTCCGAGGCCTTCGCACCGACCAGGTCGGCGGTGCAGGGCTTGCGTTCAGGCACGCGCTTCGCCAAAGCAGTAACATATTTCATTATGCAGAAAATTACGACCAGTCATGTGCAGCTTTCTCATAGGTTGTGGATTGACGATTTGAGCCAGGTGTCCAAAGGGTCCAGACGAGCTGTGCGCGATCGCCTTGTTGCCTGCCTGAAGGAGACCTGCATGTTGATGCAGAAGGACGGACTCACCATCTCTCCCAAGAGCGCGGTGGTGTGCACCAAGCTTGCGGACGCCAAGGAGGTGGTGAGGCGCCTCAGGCTGTCAGGTTTCGCGGTGACGGCAGCGGCGCAGACTCCGTACCTCGGCGTCGACGTCGGTGGCGGCAGACGGCATGTCAGAGCAACGCGGACAGCCAGGATTGCACGTCATCGGGAGATGCGCGCGAAGGT